CACACTAATACCATCTGTGGAAATGGAGCCTAAGGATCAGGCAGCAGTGTAGACAGTCTTCTCTGAGGAGTCACACTTGGAAAATAATTACTACCTTAAAATAGGTTTTTTAAAATGTCCAGAAAAGCCAGGTGGTGGTAGTGCACACCTTTAATCCCAACACTCAGAACCAGAGGCAGGAAGATCTCTCTGAATTCAAGGTCGGACTGATCTACAGAGTGAGTTGTAGGACAGCCAACACTACACAGAGAAACCCTGTCTTGAAAAATAAAACGAAAAAGTCTAAAATGACTAGAGAAACATTCATTTTCTTCCCCACTTCATTTTCTCTTTCGTCATTTTTCTATTCCTTCCAAGGTACCAATGATAAAGACATGAAAGAGGTCTGTTGTCTCACCTTGTTTAAATTACCCCAAACACAAGCTACAGACAAAAAACTTGTTGCTTAAATTTCATTAAAATATTCTCATGTTTCAAGTGGAGTGGTGCTTTTGTTTTTAGCTGACAATGTTAGAGTCAAGAAAAAAATACAAAAGGACAGCTAAGTTTGGTTAGTCAGGTAGTCTTTCTGTGAAAGGAAGTTCCCATTTATGAGTGCTATTCTAGTCATGCCAGCCTGTCTGTAGGAAGACAAACAAGAGGTAGAAGTCAGCTGTCATCCAGATTAAAGACACATGTGTGCTTCTTTTCTGCGAATAAGTAGCATCTGTTAGAAAAAAGGATTCTATATTATAGAGAAAGAAATTATGCAGTGTGCATAGCATACCTGTCCTTTTGTTAGTGCTAATACTCAGGTTTTATTAGGTAAATTACCTTTATTTAAACTCCCAGAAAGTTTACTCTTATAAATGATACCTAGACAAATAGTATCACCTAAATATTGTGTAAATGACCAAACCATAAGAACACATGTACATAAGAGGTATGCAATTCTGGAAATGTATGAAATCATCAAAATTCATAAGAAGGCTGCATAAGGAATGAGCCACAAGAAGTGGAGGCCAGAGAAGGGACTGAACAGAACCAAGGCCAAGGCAGACTTGGGATGAAGCTCAATGCAACACATTCTAACAGAAAAACACATGATATGGCAAATGGCCAGTCTCTCTGTTTCTTATTTTTTCCTATAATGTGCAAATAGTATTAATAACCATAGTAATCTCCATCTGACAAGATGATAGTGACAATTACATAGTCTGAGGAAGTGTTTTAAAATGAGAAACAGCAAATACAATAATAATAAGGAGGTACACATTCTGTTCTTCACTGGAGAGTTGGTATAAAGCACCTCTTCCTAGTCCAGTAGAATTAAACGCTCCGCCAGTTGACTTCCTTCCACAGTGCAGGCCATGCCTTTAAATACGGTTTGTCTTGTGACCAGCAGAACACAGGGAGTTCTTAAGACATGTCTGGAGGAGGTAGCAGTGAGTGTGCCGGGCACAATCTTCATTTTCACTTTCTTTGAATTTTATGGGAGTCATTTAAAATGAGGAAGCTATCCCTACCACATGTACTTCATTACCCTTAAAGGTTTTACAATCATTGCACTTGCACACACATATGTACATAAATAGAGAACAGAAGAAAAATGAAGCACAGTACTCTAGAAAGGACACATTCTACTATTTTGTTTGTGCTTTTTTTCCAACTGAGAAGAAATCAACACGGCAAACTTGAATGTCACCAGTTTCTTTAACAATCAAGTGAAAATTTTTAGACAAAGATAGAGTCTGTAAATCAGATGGGCCATAGCGCCATGAGAATAGTGATCTAACTATTAGAGGACACACATGTTATACTCTTTTTGAGTGTAAGACAAGCAGGAAGAGAGGCAGAGTGAGCTGTTTATAGCATTTAGTGTGGTGGCAAGGAACTTGCATCTGTCCTTGGGTATTAAATACATCCCGTTTTCCATGAAAAAAAGACTTGGCCCTATTTGCTTCAGAAAGATAATTGTACTTACAGATAAGCATGAAGTCTTACGATATATTAATGACTAAGTTTAAAGCAGAAAAGATATGGGTTATAGGAGGCAAACTGGTTCACAGGTGATGAGATGACATTCGAGAGGTGGTTTAGTGATAACTGCCAAGAAACACTTCCACTGTGAGTAAGAAAGTACATGGCTATTTATTATTGGGCTTTGAGATTATGTCTATCTTAACTAAAAGCAGTTACCCCAGAAAATGTAACACACACAATAAAGGATGCTGATGTGTTTCATGGAACAAACTTACGGTTTTCATTCTAGGATGTGCAGATGGACTCATTATGGGGGGGGAGTTGAGCATGGGTAAAGATACTGAGCCATCAACATTTATTAAGGCCACCTCACTAGATGCTCTCATATATAGAGAATTTTGGATGAGCTCTGGAGATATTTACAGCTAGAAAACAGACTACATACATAAATATGAACCTAAAAGTTAAAATGTTTTTATATATGGAACTCCATTACAGAACCAGCTACTTTATTTGATACCAAAATGGTCCTAAGGTCACACTTCTTTTCCATTCACATCCTGGGGACTGATGGCTACTTTCATTTTAAGTGCTTATTAAGTGTTTTCTAGTGTCATGTCATTCTAGTGATGTGGAATACTGTGGTGACCTAGACTCAGATGCTCCCAGTGACTGTCATTCCAGAGATGTGGGACACAGTAGTGATCTAACTCAAGATGCTCCCAGTGATTGTCATTCTAGAGATGTGGGATACTGGGTCACTCAGATTCTCCCAGTGCTTGTTATTCTAGAAGTGTGGGACACAGCAGTAATCCAGAAAGGGATGATGCTCCTTCGGGCAGAAGTAAGCAGCTGTACTTTTATTACCAGCGAGCCCAAGATTTGTTCACAGCATTCAGCAATGAACCATGATGATCCCACAAGGGTCGCTACTTTTGGACCATGTTTTGAGACATTTCTTAGCTACTTTTATTTCTTCTTTTGATAACTCTGTTCATAGCCCATTTTTATTTGGGTCACTTGTTTTCTTGACTGTTTATTTCTTTACATGCTCTAGATGCCAAACGTCTGTGAGATATATAGCTGAAAAAGATTCTTTCCCACTCTGCAGGCTTCCTGGTCATTCAATTGGTTGCTCCCTTATCTATTCAGAGGCTTTTTTCCTGTTAGAAGCTCCCACTTTTCAACTGTTGGAGTTAGTTCCCGAGGGAAAGTGGTCCTATTCAGGAAGCCCTTTCCCATACCTCTACCTTGTAGGGTATGGCCTGGATTTTATTCCAGCAGTTTCAGTGTTTCAAGTTTCACATTGAGGTCTTGAAGTTGATTTTGTACAGGGGGATAGGTATTGGTTTAACTTCATTCTTCTGTGTGTGTACATCCTGTTTTCCTAGCACAATTAATGAAGATGCTGTTTTTCCAGTGTATACATTTAGCACTTTGTCAAATTTTAGATGACTGAAGCTATGTGCACTGATGTTTGGGTCTTCTATTCTGTTCCATTTGTCTACGTGTCTGTTTTTATTGCCAATACCATGCTGTTTTTTATTGCTATAGCTCTGTAATATATCTTGAAATCTGTAATAGTAATCTCTTTAACATTGTTCTTTTAGCTTGGGGATTGCTTTGGTTGTATGTGGTCTTTTGTGACTTCATGTGAATTTTGTGAGTTTTTTATTGATGTGAAGAATATTGTGGGGACTTTAAAATCAGAATAGCATTTCATTTGTATAACATTTGGTAGAATTGTCATTTAGCACAAATAATTCTTACAAATACATGAATGAGCATGAGAACTTTTTCCATTTTTAATGTCTTTCTTTATCTCTCTCTTCAAACATGTAAAGTTTTTATTGTAGATGTCTTTTACCTCTTTGGTTAGGGATATTCATGTGCGTGTGTGTGTGCATGCATGTGTGTATGAATATGCATTATTGTGAATGGGGGTATTCCTATGATCTTTTTCTGAACATGTTTTTTTTGGTATATAGAAAGCCTACTGGTTTTTATAAGTTGATTTTGTGTCCTTCCAATTTGCTGATTTGTTGATCAGTTCTAGAAGTTTCCTTGTGTATTTTTGTGTATCTCCGAGAAGGCCATCTCTGAGAACAGGACATGGTGCAGGATGTTGAGCTTCCTGGGACTCACCAGGCTGGAACTGTGCACAGTTGTATAATCTGGATCATGCCTGGAGGCAGAATATGTTACAGGTAGGCTAGGGTCTGAGCAACTCACCTGACTGGGTTGGCATACCAGATATTTGATGAAGGAAACCCTGAGTGTTGGAAATGACTCCAGTAAGAATTATCATACTGGGATTGTGCACAAAGTGTTCAATTTAGGTTAGGTATAGGGATTGGAGAGGTTTCAAGTGGGCTAGGGCTCAGTATACTCACCAGTCTGGATATGGGCAAGGGTTGTGAGTCCTGAGCAAAGACTGGAGGTTGGATTTGACTCAGACAATTGAATTGTAGGACTATGAGAGAAAAGTGAAAATAGGCTACTAGGGTTTATCTATGGCATGTGTGGTGGTTACAGGTAGTAAGTGGGATTGGAATTAAGTAATATCCTAAGAGAAAGAGAGCCTCAGCAGAGAGACCCATTTCTGGCAAGCATCCGTGGGTCTAGGACAACTGGGATGAAGGCAGAAAGGAGGGAAAATACATGTAGATTACCAGGGTCTGCTTCACCCTCTTCAGGTGTCTACAAAATCCTTGGTAATAAGGAGGGTTGAGACCAGGCAAGTCTCAAGAAAAAGGAGCCAACTGACCAGGGTGACAAGAATGGGATGGAGGAAGACAGGAGTGAAAACATAGGTAATCTACATATATCTCTTCATGTCTTACATCTTTAAATTAGTACTCACCATTACCTCACTAGTATGTGTGTAAAAGTAATATTATGTGTCATAAATAAGCAACATTGATCCAAATTAGTCTTGTGTTACAGAGGAATTTTTTTCTTTTTACTGTTTCCTTTCGTGGTCTAGAAAATAAAGAGCAGAGAGACTCAAAATTGATCAGAGTAGAACAGTCACACTATGCAGGTGTTGTACATCTTTATTATGATAAATATGGGAAAACTCATAAACTTGAAAGCATATGAAATAATATGCCATACATAACAACTGTCAATGTTTAAAAAGTATTTAATATTTGAAAACTATGTACATATTAAGTCATATCAAGCAAAATCAAAGGCTATATATTTAAGGTTATTGACAAAACATTTCAGTTCCTTAAGAACTTCATTTTTGAGCCTTTGGATTATACAGTGACAGGGAAGTCAAGTGTACTAAAGCAAATTCTAGTGTCTTTTTGGTCAGCAAGGATGAGTTATCCTTCATACTGATTTCTAGGAAACAAATGGGCTTACTTCTCAGATTGGTGTGTCATGAAGCAGGGATAACTCTGACTACTGGAGAGTTTAAACAGAAGACGCCCCAGGAAGCTTCTGCATTCTCCTTGCTAGTAGAGAAGAACCCATGTTTCCAGATGGGCCTTTGAAAATAACGGTAGTGGAGATTGTGGATAGAAAGCCAATGAAATTAGATAGAGGGAAGTAAACAGGAGTATAAATGATGAGAGCAGAGGTTGAGACTTTCAACCAGGTATTTGAAAAGGGTCAAGTCACCAATATTACTTTCTAAGCACCAATAAGCTGAAACAAAATAAAACAAACCCATGCACTCTTAATTAAAATTCTATTCACTTAGGATGCTTCTTGATGCCTATTAGTGTATGGGAAACCAATTGGATTTTCAAGGGCAAGAGACTTTACCAGTAAATAAGATGATACCATTCTTTCTGATGACAAACAGAAAGGGGTGATCAGCTCTGAACACTGTGGATTCAGGAAGCTGCTTTTCAACAATGTTATTTTCTGTGGCAGCAGTGGCCTCAGTGCCCTCCTCTGTGACCTCTATGAAGGACTTATGCATTAGCTTTGATACATAGAGACGACCTCCAGAAGCCATTCCAGAGAGATCTGCTCTGGACTCGTCAAAGATGTCTTGCAAACCTAGGGATCGCAAATGGTGCCTCATTTCATAATTCTTCTCTATCTTGAACTGTGGGAGAAATACCTCCACATACTGAGATTTCATTTTCCTCCTATTGGTCCAGTCCATTAGATTCCGAAAGCTCAGCTTGCTTTCAATCTGCAGAGATTTTTAAAAGAAACATAATGTTAGGAAAGGATGAAATGACATTACTGACACATGGTTTTTGGTAATGATACTGTTCTGTTTTTTTTTTTTAATTTAAGTACATGAACCAGATATGGAGGGAAACTCAGATAGAAAATGATTGAAAAGAATAGTTCAAATATTTTTTTAAAAGTTGTATGTTTAACTCACTATGCTATGACTTATATGTGATGTGTGATGACATGTCTGATCTCTGCCCACACTAGAAAAAAACAGAGGCAATGTGGAATAACAGGTAGGAAAAACAGAACTAGGAGGGCTATGTGGGAGGGTTTGAGGAAGGAAAAGGAAGAGGGAAATGATGGAATTGTAATATACTCTCCCAAAGTAAAATAATTAAAATGCATAAAAACAAAAATCTTTAGAAATAGAATTGGAGTTATTATTACTGTGAAGCATTTTAAAGTTACTATAATAAAATAGGAGTAGACATAAAAAGAATATGGAAATGGGGGCTGAACAAAGAAAGGCAGAGCTTAGTGGTTATTTAGATCAGTGTTTTCTAATCATTTTCCCATAATGAAAGACACATAAAGTATAAGTGTTTGTATAGCTTAAAACATAAACCAATGGAGGGCTGCAGAGTTATATCAGCAATTAAATTCTCAGCACCCACATGTGGCTTACAACCATCCATAAATCTAGTGGGGGAATCTGATACCTTCTTGATCCAAGGACATCAGACATGTGTTTGATGCATAGACATGCATGCAGGCAAAACACCCACAGGCATAAAATAAAATAATAAACGGACCTAGGTGCCCTGAAGCAAAAGACCCAGGATCCCAGCTCTGGGGAATGGAATGATACATCTGTCCCTTTCCAATGGGAAAGCTTGGACTTACAGCTCTTACCCAACACATGAGAACAAAAGCTCAGAGGATTAAGGGAGTCACAACTGCCAAGCAAAGCAAGCAATCTTGGTTGCACACCTACAGTAAGTACCTCTCTCTAACATCATGGCTGCTTCAAATAATTCACAAGTAAAACTTGCCTGGTTCATACTGTGAATTTGTTTCATAAATAGTAGAAATCCTATATGTGGATACCTCTTAAATTCAAATGTCCCTGAATTCTAAAATAATTTTCATGTACCTCAAATTTATATTTTTATAAAGGACCCAAATTCATATAGTCCAATTTAGTTCATTGGGAGTTTCTAAGTTTAAATAATCCAGTGTGTAAATTGTCTATAATAACTTCTTATTCTGAATTTAATTTTACTCCTTGATTCTAGCCTTCTATGGTATTAACTTCCATACTACGTAAAGCACACACACACACACACACACACACACACACACACATGAAAATAAAGTAACCAAAAGTATTCTGTGTACAATATTCCCCCTATAGGGAAAGGACAATGGTAACTTACTTGGGATATGTCATTCTCAGGCAGCATGATGTACATGCTTATGCCACCATGATACTGGAGCTCAAGAACCTGCATGGGTGGATCCTGAATTGCAGACAAATTGAACCTCCGTTCTTGATGCATCATAGCAACTGCTTTATCGGAACACTGGAAATCAGATCACAACGAGGTGTTTAAAATCCCATATCATCACACTCATAGGCCAAGTACACATAAAAATGTGGATTCAGTCAGTAGACCTTGGAGATTTTTCTGATATGTTGCAAGTGTTGGTTGTAAGATGCAATCATATTCTTACTTTCTTAGGGTAAGGTACCTCACATTTCTGTTTCCAGATCCTCATCTATATGATAGAAATGTCAACAACCCCCCCTCCAATGGGTAGTGTGGATTCTATGGGTTAATAGAGCTACTAGGTGGAAGGTTACCTTATACTTTTATTTATTTTGGCTGAATTGTCTCATTAAGTAATAAGTAATTACAAAATGTCAATAAATAGTGGATTTTTCTCACATCAGAAACAAAATAGAGATTAGGGCTATCAAAATTGTGTAATTTAAGACTGACGTCTTAGAAAAATTAAAAATTTTTATAAAGTGGTAGATTATATCTCATTAACTTAAGGAACATTCTAATTCTTATCTAGAAGATAGTGTCCATAGATTTAGGAATACCATACAGATATAGTAAGTTCCTTTTCCTTTTGATATTAAAATAGACAAAAAATAGACAAAATTGTCAACATTTCTGTAATATTCCTTTTTAGGGCAAAATTCCCACATGAGAGGACAGTTAGTTCTGTGTCTTTGAACCAAAGATTTCTCCTTCTAGTAAAATAGTTCTTTTATGCTTCATTACAACAAGTAATACATGTACCTATGGAAAGAAGTCAGAGTGGGCTTGTTCTCAGTTATTATCTGACTTAATCACTTCAACTAATGTGGAGTCCAACAACATTTAGACTTCTCCAAGACAATATTCCACTTCTATAAAGAAGGATACAGATCTTACCACATCGGGCAACACAGAAGAAATTGGTGCAAATACCACAGTTCTCACAAAGGAGTAATATAATATGTACATACCGTGGGAGACCTGAAACGACAGTTGAGAGTCTCACTCTTGGTGAAGGCAGATTTCCATTTGCCTTTGAAGTAAACAGCATTCACCATCACCATGACAGCCGATGAGCTGAGGCTGCTCCCACCTAACACCTTCTTGATTTTACCTTTTAAAAATAAGTTGAAGGGAACAATGCTCATCTATATTGAAACAAATTTTAAATATGCTCACAGACTGATAACAGGCACAATTTTCTTCTTAGATCATTATTATACAATTAATTATGACAGTGTTTGTTTAACCCTCATGAAGTCTTTATGCTGTTGCTTTGGTTTCCTGTCAAGGCAACTGAAGCACAAGGACACTAGATGATTGATACACTCAACAAGAAAGCAACTGCAACCATCACTGTGGAGGTAGAGTCTACAGAGCTATGAACTGAGCCTCATACAGCTGTGAGATGCCAAATCTTGCAGTGAGGAAATTAAGCCTTCTCGAAGACACTCAAGCAAAGCTGGGAGAATTGCATTTCCAGAACAAACAGAAACCCATATATCAGAAAAGGTGACTGATAACTACCCTATAAGAATATAGCCACACAAACACTGGATGAGATGACACAGTTTGAGGAGTTCCTTGTGACTTACAATAAACTTTCAATAATCTACTTTTTGAGGTGGTGAAGCCCTCACAAGAGAAGTGAAACCTGAGGAGTTCCCTTTTTCTGAGCACTTCCTACAGAGAAACTTCTAAGTGACCCCCCAAATAACAATGAGATTTTTCAGAAATATAATTCTCAGAAGAATGAAACTCTGACAGCCAAAGGAGGACTCATTGGCCAACAATCATAGAGGAGTCCTGATGGATGGATGGATGACCGTGAAACACTGCCAGCTGCAGTTGCCCTGGAAATGATGATTCATCTGTTCAAACCCTGGACAGTATCAGATGTCCCAACCATGTGATGAATGGAAGCAGCTCAGTGTTTCCAGAAATAATCACCTATTGATATTAATCAATCAATTGTTGATCAGTGACAGTTATAAGATCAACATTTGTGGAGATCTTAATATTAATGTGCTTAGTCACTTTACCTAGACCAATAAACTAATTTATCTATTTATGACTTAGTTTTAAAGACAAAATTGGACCCAGTAATGTGTGAGAGATAAAAAAAATCACTAAAAGTAAAAATAAATGGAAATATCACCAAAGAAACAAAAACAATGACAACATGACTCCTACCTGGGAAAATAGTTACCAGCGCCCCTTGATAGCATTAACCAGACCCCTCTGAAACTGTGTTACTTCACGTAGAATTTAATTTCATTCCATTACAAAGGCTGATTCCCCTCAATTCAAATTAATGAGACTTTCCTTAGTTATATCCTTTATTCCAGACACTTAAATTGTGGCAATGAAAGCTGTAGTCCTTGCCTTCTTGGACCTCCCCCACAAAAAGAATTCTTTGTCAATACAGTCATGATTTTAGCAATAATATCTATTGGCTTTCTAGGATTTATTGCCTGAGATTGCAGCACATTCAATGTGTGTTTAGATGTAGATACCCAAGCCTACTTTCCATCAGCCACAATAATTATTGCTATTTCAACAAGAGTTAAACTATCTAGCTGGCTAGCCACATTGCATGGAGGTAATATTAAATGAACTTCCATAAGTATAGCACATTAGAGTCAACAACCAAGAAAGTCACTCTGGTATACAGTGTTGCAGCAATGTCTAAGGATAGTGTGCTAAAAGGACACAGGTTAGGAAAACCTTACAATGAATAGGGTTGTCTGCTTAAACTGAAAGCATTTAGTGGGCAGAAACATGGTCCACAATGCTGAGGCTATTAAAAAATATAGAAATGTGGGAAGGAAAAGTATGTACAAAGAAATGTGCCTCATTAGAGTATGTTAACTAGACCGAGATTAGAAAGTCATGAAGCAAACCCAGAATATGAGAAAGTTTGAGTCTCTGTAAGACTTTTGGATTATCTTGAATGTGATAGAAAATTGCTGACTGGGTTTCAATGCAAGAGGAAGAACACAGTGATAAATGATCCAATTTGTCATTCGAAAGTGTGAGTGTTTCATTGTATAAAGAAAGTGGGATATAATACCTGGAATAATGGAGACAATTTGAAGTACTGAGCATAGTCTTGTTAGATTTTAGGTATTGGTTATGCACTGGATGCATATATTTGCATGTAAAAAGAAGGATGAGAAATACATAAAGTGTTGCAAATTGGAGGGGGTAGTCAAATCTCCTTGACTGCTGTTGTATAGCATGCCACTCAGTTATCCCAAAACCAAGTGTTGTTATTTCTTTAGGTTCATAAGGTTTTTTGTTTGTTTGTTTGTTTGTTTTTATGAGACAGGGTTTCTCTGTATTGTTTTGGAGGCTGTCGGTCCAGCCCGGCCTCGAACTCACAGAGATCCGCCTGCCTCTGCCTCCCAAGTGCTGGGATTAAAGGCGTGCACCACCACCGCCCGGCAGTATTATACATATTATATTTTAGACTTGCAGTGGTAGTAAGCAAAGACACAGTCATAATGTAATGGCGAAGGAACAAATGAAATGCAGGAATCATTTTCTTCTACCAAGGAGTACTTGTATGCCACTAAATGGAGTGTAAGTCACGTGGTTTATAGTTCTGAGGTAAAGCAAAACTCAAATACATGAGTAATATTCACAGTACAAATCAGAGCCCACCACTAAGTAAATAGGTACTACAAGCTTCGGGATCAGTTAATTTGTAACATAAAACATTAACAGATTTCTATGTTTGTTTTGTGTTAGAAGAGAACTTTGTCTAGAATTCAGATTTTACTTGTGAAAAGTACTATAAAGAGTCACAGTTCTCTGAAGGTATTACCTTTGCTAAATATATTATTTTGATTGGGAGTATTTTTAAAATATCAAATTCAGTCAAGTAAATAGTCTTAGATAATATCAATCATTAGATTAGAAGGGACTATATTTTATGTGGATAAAAATCCCATCTTTCAAGTAGACTGATCTTAACAAGTAGTGTAGAAAATAAAGGATTCTACTTGCCGTGTGTCTCATTTTCAATCCATTTATTAATTTTATATCTGGTTTCTTCTATATCATTTGTGAAGTCAACTCTTTCCACTCTGGCATTGTATAACTTTTCAGCACAGTTAATGTAATTCTGCAAATAAGAACATAGAGGCAGTATTTGTAAATATCAGCAATCAAGTATAAAATAAATGTATTTTTGAATTATTTCTTCATTTCCACTGCCTCCATAATGCAAAAATATGACCAGAGTAATAGAAACTTGATGTTGAGTATTGACTTTACTTTGTCAGTATTGGGTTTGGAGATGATGGGAAAAGCTGACTGCCTTGGCTTTAACACTGCCTTCTCATCATACGTATCTCAGTGTCCATATTACCTCCCTTCCATCTAAAAGCCTTCTAGGGCTACTTACCATCCATAAGACCCCAAACTCCAGACAGAGCTGAAAAGGCTTTACACTTCATTTTCCTAATTTCTTGTTTTTTCCCTCTTCACAGTATGTGCTCATGTCACCCCAAGTTCCTTATAATTTCTCTAGAATTATAATTCCATGTAGCCTGCTTTACTTCAAACACTCCTTCCACTCTTGTGTTCCTTACTGTCCAATTGCCTCACTTGTTCTCTGAGCATTACTCACTGTCTCCTTGAGAGACATCTTTCCTAGGTCCCTTCTGTGGCTTATAGCATTGTCTTCACTTTCATTTTTCATTAAAAAAGTTAGTATCTGATCACCTGTAGAGAGGACGTTATGATAATTTGATATATATATTAAACATATAATTACCAAATTATGATTATTAGCACCACCATCTCTTCAAAAATAATCACAGATGTCACAGAACACTTTACTTGCATTTGAGATATTCTAATTCATCCATAAGACACCAAATTCTGTAAAGTTGACACCCTACACGCTGTTTTTATTATCACTTTTAGCACAAAACACACTGAATTCTACCTAGTGAGTGTTCAAAGGTACTTACTTTTAATAAAAAGAAAATGATTATCCAATTTACCACTATTCTAGAAATATACACAAGCTATCATTAAGAAAAATGGCTGAGAGAGGAAGGGGCTAGAGAACTACATAGACAATATTGTAGTCTACCATTTCAGGCAGCCCTGGAAGACTTACAGGCTGTTAGGCATTTATACATTTTTCTTTAAGTTTAATTAACATGTCATACCAATCTCTTTCCAAGAGTTATAACATTTTTTACAGGACTGTTCACATGTGTTTATTTATAATAGACAGAGAATTGAAACAGACTAGGTGTCCATCAACAGCAGGATAGATAAGCAAACTGTCACATATTCACTCAAACAGAATACTTCTTCCAAGAGAAAACCACAGACTGCTGATAAAGGTGACAACGTGACTTAATCGTAAAACATTTCTCTAAGTGAAAGAAGCCTTAACACAAAAGAGTGTGTACAACATGGTTAAATTTATCTAAAGTTCCCGAACAGAGAAAACCAATGTATGGTTGAAAAGGAAAGAAGAATCAGAACAATAGTTCCTTCTGGGGAAAGGATGGAGATAAGGGCATCCTTGAGGGGGACAAGTATGGGATTCTGTAATCAGAAGGTAGCAACCTGCTATTGTAAATTTCAGAAGCGAAACAGCTTTGCATGTTCTTGAATTTCAAGTATGATTTGGTGATTCAATTACTAAAACAGTATGGGGAGAAGGTTGAGAAACTGTACAGAGAAGTGTGGGAAGAGATCACTGGATTAGAAGATCCCAATTCACAGTAATATTGAAAATATCCAAATTATAACAGAATTTGGGAGAAAAGTGGAATGTTATTTAAAGAAATCTGACCCAAGACATAGGAAAAATTAGGAAAACAAAGAATCAGAAGTAAAGATTTGATCTTTTAAAATATTTTCTTTATGCAGATAACTTATTATTTATTATTAAATAAATATTTTATCCACATTCAAATGTCAATAAAAAGAACATTAATAAAGCAAAAATTGAGAAATTACCTAGCTTTGAGCTAATAATTAAATTTGATACTTTTAATTTCAAAAGTATTTTTCAGAATCACTTACTATGGGGTCTGGATCAATGGCTCAGAGTTTAAGAATACTTCTTTGTGCTCTCCCAGAGGACCCAAGTTCAGTTCCTAGCACCTATGTTGGGTGGACCATAACCCTGTAACTGCAGCTCTAAAGGATCCCATTTTCTCCTCTGGTCTCTTTGGGCAATTGCACTCAAGTGTACATATCTTCAGAAAGACACACAGGTATAGCCATCATTAAAATAAAAGGAAAAGGAGTAACAACCTACCATATGTATAGGCGTTTGAGAGAACAAATAATACAAAGTTGCTTGATAAAACCTCAAGGAATCAATTTATTTTACATTTACCTAAATTATACATAATATGTGTATAATATATGCACATATACTTGCATATTAAATGCTCCCCACAAAACAATGTACTGACAAAAATTCCAGTACCAGGCATGAGAAACCTCCTTTTGAATAGGTGGTCATGGTAGTCCAGTGACTCCTAAAACAATATAAACTATTGATGTAGTCCTTGTTTGTCTCTCAATGTTTGAGGGTGAGTCACTTTTGCTGAAGATACCAAACACTTAGGACATAGGACTCAGGTGATCTGAGACATGTCTGAATGGAAAGTCTGTTTCCTACAGTCTAACTTTCATCAATTCAGAAAATACTGTGCAAGTTTCCAAGGGAAGGGAAAAAAATTAAACAGTTTGACAAGCCTGCAACAACTATGAACCAAACTAGTGATCAGCAAGGCAATATATACATAAAGGTGCAATAAGTGGAACTCAAATGTTGATGGTAACCAAGAGCTTTCTAATTAAACTTAAGAACAATTCTGGTAGTGGATCAGTATTTACTCTTAGTATATGAATGGACTTTAGGAGCCCATTCCACGTAGAGGGAGGCTCTCTCAGCCTAGACACATAGGGGAGGGCCTAGCCCCTGCTCCAAACAATAAGGCAGACTTTGAAGATCCCCCATGGAAGGCCTCACCCTCTCTGGGGAGCAGAAAGGGGATGGGACTGGGGGTCAGTGGGGTGCAGGGGAAGGAGAGGGAACTGGATTGACATGCAAAACAAGCTTGTTTCTAATTTAAATAAAAAGTTAAAAAAGAACACCTAAACAGGAGGGAATTCATGCTCAGTAGTGAAAACCCAGCCAGCTTCCCAAGGCTAGTGAGTTCATAGACATTAGAAAAGAATCTGCTACTGCCACTTTGCTAGATAAGCATAATTCCAAATTACATTGTAAATCTTATCATAATATCCACAGACAAATATAACTACCAACCCTCATCAAAGAAGCTTTTCTTTACAACAAATGAAGACCATCACAGAAAACAATTGGGTGCAATTCAGAGATCAGCCGATTATAGGAAGCCCATGCCCAACAGAAACATCTATATAACAGCTCCTGTATCTATGTCTTAGGGAACATATAGAAATAGTAGGTGGAAAGAATCTAAGACCCAGAATACCAAGAAATCTTTTGTGAAATAGTCTCTTTTAGAAATGACTGCACAAAAAGATTACAACAATGACAATATTAATAGGCATGCTAACTTGGAAAGGAGAAAATTCTGAAGAGGCTTATCCCTATACAAAGAACTATACATAATTAATGGATTCTGACAGAAGGAAAATGGGCCTCTCCCACAGATTATCCTCTTTATTGGTTGTTCAATGCAAAGAGGTCATCCCTGAAACCATATGCACACATATAACACACATGTACATATATATGTATGTAACTATAATAATCAAAGATAAAGAGGTACTCAACTTGAGAATGGGGAAGATAAAAGAGGGATTGGAGATAGGGGACCTGGGAGAGACCAGAGTGAGGAAATTGAGTGAGGAAAGTGATTTAATTCTATTTTGGTTAAGAAAGAGTAAACTCTGCATTTTCCATGTTCTTGATGAAAGTTTGCCTTCACTGTGCCTCTTATACTTCTCACTGCAGTGTCTTTTCATTCCGTGAGTGTCAGGAAAAAGAAGACCATAAGGATCTGCTGTATATAATAGCCCAGTAGACAAATCAACTCGAACTTAAAATAACTTGACATTCCTTAGGAATGAGTTAGCAATCTCTGTGAGAATATGAAAATCAAATACAATAAACACACAGAATTGCTTTCTTAATACTTTTGAGATGGTAGAAAAACAAAAGGTGGCCTAATACTTCCTAGTTGGCAAGATACCAAAGGATTAGGGAGTGGTGCTGGGGAGGGGCAAAGAATTTGTGTGGGTGACAGTTGGAGGGAGCAGTAATGGTTGGGTGGGACACAGAGAGTTGGCAAAGATGCAGTTGATTAGCCTGGTGATGTCACTGAGACAGAGTTTTATGGATGGTTCTTTGAGGAGTGACCAAATAGAAGGGAAATTAAGTCCCAGAGAAATAGAGGCACACGGCGGCTTAATAGTCCTAACCAAGTGAACAGCTTCTGGCAGTCACTGCATGAAGGTTCTAAAGTGGGGTGAGTTCAGTAGCTTAGAGAGTACAGTCTGAACCTCTTGGCCTCCCAGTGGGGAGAGTGCAGCAATGATGCACTGACTACCAATGCCATTCAGCTAGCTATATTAGTGACCTGACCTATTTCTAACTCTTGTTGAGTCTGGCCTCCTCCTCTGCCATGTCTGTAAGGGCTGGCCTTATTTGACTACACCTCCTTGGAAAGAACTCATGTACAAACAATCTCAATGAGTACAAACAACTAGAAGGAAAAATGACGAGCATAGCTGAGGGAATAAAAATGGTGGCAAGGAAAGACATCTCACTGGGAATGATGCATTGTTTTAGTAAGCAGACCTGAAGCTCAAAGGAAGCAGTGGTTCACCTCTGAGGCCATAGACTCCCCCACATGTCCCCCACCACCACTTCTAGTTACTGCTCAACATCACTGCTACTGCCATACTGCCAATGGCGTCTACATCTGAAGTCCATCAGTTGGACCCCCTTCAATATGTGGGTTTACTAGATTAAAAGGTAATGTTTTGAAGACCACAGTAGAATAATAAAATAACTTTTTTTCATGGTTCATAGGAAGGTAGAAGGCATTATTCATGTACTAGATGGAACAAGATTCAGGTCTAGAGTGGAGGCAATCTTCTGAGATAAGCAGTTTTACCCACCTTATGAAAGTCAAACACTTTTTCTGCAAAAAGTCCATTGGCAATACTGAGTTCATAATCCTTATGGGATGAATTTATGTCAGCGAGGACGTTTTTCAGTTGATGCTGCAGTCCTGGCTTTATCAAACAGAGGGACACAAATGTAATCTCATACTGCAAGGATGCATAGTATCACTTACACATGAAAAAATCATGGATAATATTCTACATAAGAATGGGAAATTATTGCTACAAAAGCAGCAAGGAAAGCATCATATAATCAGTGTCTTTACCATTCCTCATCATATTTCATATTGTCTACAATCAAAATGAAAAATTTAATGAAATAAATTTATCAATAGGAAGCTATCAAGTAGCTCAAAATCTATATTAATGAATTATCTAGCCAGTGATAGAATCCATTAATTTATTAATTAAATAAACTAGTTTGTCAATCTCATTTAACTGTAAGGGATAGAAGAGAAAGGCTGTTTATCAATATTTTACTACAACCTAGCAAGCAAAAAATGTTAAAGTAATAATTAAATTATCAAAATTATATTTGATATTTAATATAATTATATTTGAAATTGATTTCTTTGTTTTAATGGGGTAGAAAGCACGAAAACATATTCAAAAGATAAGGTCTTCCTTCAATTTAATTTCTAATTGGCTTTTTCTTTAAGGAACTGTCATGTTTACCTGGTTGTTAAAGGAGCTTCCTTGTCTTGATGGAGTATTAAAGTAAAGTGCCTGCAAATACGATATAAAATATTGTCAGAATCAGGACATGTTGAGGGACCAGTTAGCAGAAGGTTTTGAAAATGAAATCTTATTTCCAAAAAGGCTCATCTAGTGTTGTTTCAATTTCACCAGTGTCTGAGATCTGCTCTTCTTACAACTCCAGATGAATGTCACTGGCTGAAACAGAAATGCCTTCTAGTTTTCATCTTGTTACATTTTCTTCCTGCTCCACATACTAACTTATCTCAAGTTAGCCACTACTGGGGGTTTGCATTAATTTAGTAAATATCACAGTGACATTGTTTCCTTGAAATATGCTCATTGGTGTTCAGTGTCCACATGGGCATTGTCATATTTTATATCAAACGTCCCCAGAGTTCATGGCATGCGGTCTTAGTTTCCATTGCTTTCATTTCAGGTGCAAATTTTGAAAGGGGTTGAAGCTAAAGCTCTGATCTTCCTCAGTGGCTTAACCTAGTTCTGGATTCTGGTTTTGCGAATTCATGAGAAAGAAATTTATTACAAGAGAGACCTTTCTTAGTTTGGTCTCTTGCTGCAGTGAGGTGAATGACAGCCAAGCAACTATGTGTGGAAACCTCTGAAACTATGAGTCTAAATATACCTTAGCACCTTAAAGGTCCATTTTCTTTAATATTTTGACATGGCAACAGAAAGTCAAAAATACAGACGCACATAGTTAAACTCAATAGTTTTCAGTGTATTCCACTGAAACACTACTAGAGTGGTCACTGCAAGAACGCAGAATACAAAAATACTATTTTGAGACCCACAGAACAGCCAGTCCTTACTTTGGAATAACCTGATGGGTCACTGGAGTATTTGGGTCAGTACACACTAGATCACCAATTTATGGGTTTGTTTATTATTTCATGTTCTTTAAATCATTCCTACCAGTTTCTGTTTTCTTTCCCCTTTTTAAAACTAATTTTAGGACCTTGAAATCCATTAGCATTGTCTATCAGTTATAATCTCTACATGTCTTCAAATTTCATTTTGCAAAGTAATATTAAGCTTTATTTTAATTTGTCCACAAACAAGGTATCATCACCAGTTGCACATTGAATCATTTCTTCCCCTCATAATTTTAAGCTCCCCATCTTCTGAGATTCTCAACATACAGATGTTCCCCAAATTCTTAAGTTATTAATAACACCAAACTTATTACTCGAATATGTATCTTGTCTTACCAAAAGTTTCTTTTCAGTGCAGAAACCCAGGTTTGGGCTCACGTTTTGTTTTATTCTTTTGTACCATGAATGTACTACAAATATTTATTTCAGGTATTCATTTGTGTTGATCTAGTTTAATAATGTATTTTGTAAAAAAATGTGATCTTGACTTCATATGGGACATTTTTGACTGACAGAGAATCGTCTTAAGGACAGGATACATGTGGTTATGGTTGTTTCATCTACAAAGCTTGTATTAAAGCCAATCATCCCTACTGCTTCAATTCTCTGAAGACTTGTCTTCTGAGTAATATGGAATCTTGACTAGGGCACATTTTGGTAGCTTCTGGCAGAAGAAGGAGGTGCTTAGACTTTCTCCCTATAATTGAGGACTGTATATACAGCACTTTATAAATTCTTGCACATCCCCAGTTTGAAAATTTTAATATTATGTGGATTTATATGGAATATAAACATGTTGTATTTATAATTGAACAAAACTAGAAAGATTAATATCTTATGCCCAGTTAAAAACTTCATTATGGTGTAATTTAAAAAAAACACTGCTATTTGGCAATGGACTTCTATTATTTTAATTCCTCACACAGAGAAATTTGTTTCAACTCTGAGTAATCATATATGATGTGCTCATTTGTAAATGTAATGTTTACTAAAGCCTGTAGGTCCCTTGAGCCACAGATACTTGGGAGATTCTGATTAAGCAGTTAGTCCTGAGGACATTCTTGTCTTAAATCTATAGGTTTGATAAACTGCTATGGGGAGGGCTCGACAATCAAGGGTATATGCTATTGAACTCAAATAGAAAATGTTTGTCTCCACTGATGCTAAGTAAAAAGGATCTAGTAAACAACAACAGAAATTATTGAAGTGAAGAATGTGTTGATTAGTCTGATTTAATCTTTCTATAATATATGCACAGATCAATATATCACATTGTGCTCCATGAATGTATTTGCATATATCTATTGTTTCTCAGTTGAATTTTATTTTGATATTATTTAATATTGATATTATACCAAAGAACAATCCTGATGTAATAAAATATGAAACTGTGACTTGGTTGTATGAGTTTGTCTTGGCTTGGGTAAAATAGAGACTGCTCACTGGGTTAAGAACCATGAACTGGAGACATGAGTTAATACAATGTATAATGAAAGGACTTTTAAACTATTTTATACATGCTAGAGAGACATCTTAATGATTAATTATTCTATTTACATTATCATTGAAAATAAAAACTTAAAAATATTATTTAATCAAATGAGAATCAGGGATAACATTAATCATTTAGGCATTATTAGATGAAAATGAAAACCAGTCTTTGAATATCTCAGAAACATTAAATCTGAAAGCCAATCATAATTTGAGTGATATGGTCTTCCAACTGTTTGAATTAAGTATTAGATCTCTTCCCTTTTCCAGTGTGACTCTCACAGTCCTTTCTAACAATTGCTACTGTGCCTTCATAGCTTTAGGTCTGGACATCCAAAATGCAAAATACTCCCTCTCTTCAGAAGTGGGAAAATACCCTGCTCACATAGTAACTGGTTGTGGGACTGTGGATGGACAACAGAGACTACTGAGGACTCGTTTCACTTCTGTTCCTCCAACACCTAATAGGAAAAGTTTAATAACTGCTAGGGCATGATGAATCAGTTCTCCAGACTCAGCAAAGGAGGCCTGGACTCTTGATTGTGTTTGCCATAAGAAACAACAACACAAGTCCACTCTTCTCGGGCTGGGAAGGCTATTCTGAGGCTGGGTAGGGAAATTCTATGTCAAAATTCTATGTGAAGGCTTTCAACACTAGACTCTAACCTAAAGCAGAACAATGCAGAAATAAGTAGAAAGCCTTACAAAGACTCCATCAATCTTAATTTTAATAGGCTACAGACAATTGGAACCTGGGTACAGTGTAGACGGAGCAAAATCAACAAATCAAGGTTGATGTACAGATCAATTATTTCAAGTTTGCAGGCACCAAGGTGGCAACTTCATAATACATATTACATATTAATTCTGGCATTGTTTTCTCCCCTTCACTGTGCTGTGAAGATGAAAAGCATCAGACCCCCTTTCTCATTCAGACCTGGCCAAACACATGAATTTTCAGTGACACAGAAAATACAATAGTTGTCTGTTTCAGCTGACAGAAAAAGTGTACCTAAAGATAAAAGGTACCAGGCTAGTCTAGACCTTTGAAACATGTTTTACCTGTTTTCAACAAAGACATTCTGCACCAAGGGAGAAGGGTTTAACCATCAGCACGGGAAGGATGCAACAGGGGCGACCTCTGGTGATGCCATGATGCTGTGCTGAGAGTACTGCACGTGGCCTCTTATATTTATGCAAGTATAAATGGTAAAACACTGTTTGGAACTTTAAATGGTTTTATGATCATTACTTGTAAAACGATGCTTGGCAATAATGTGAAGCCTAGCAAGGAGAAAGAACTCATCTGGGCATCAGGTATCCTAAGACAAAAGCATCCCTTCTTATAGTTCTCTCTCTCTCTCTCTCTCTCTCTCTCTCTCTCTCTCTCTCTCTCTCTGTCTCTGTCTCTCTCTCTCTCTCTGAATATATATATGTATATATATATATATTCCTAAAGTCAGTGTGAGTAGAATGTTATTTGGAACTGTGCAAGTGTAAGAAAAATATAAAATTCCATGGTCAAATGTCAGGACTCAAATTGCTGCTAATAAACTTAAGACATGAAGCTAACTTATAATAGTTACATAGTCAGAAGATATTCCTCTTAATTTTTTAAACAAAGTTTTATCAGTTGAATATATTTAATGCCATTATTTGCACTTTTACATTGTTAGTTGATCTGACAGTCATAGTTAGCATGTGAAAACCTGGAGCACTGTAATTCTGACTGGATACCCAACCATTTCATCTGAATGTACGATAACAATGCTACCATGGTCAGAGGGGCATAATGATAAATAAAGAGAAATAATAAAATTTCAAAGTCTTTACCATAAGGCTATTTTTTCATTTTGCCATTGGAATCATTGTTCCTCTTTAAACACTAGATTTTGCTGCCACAACTCCTTGGGAACATGAAGGGAAACCAGAGCTACTGTTTCTTTTTAGTAACTAATTAAAGGCTCAGTGAGATAATGACAAGGACTGAAAACTGTGCCTGTGAGTTTCAAGCTCCTTGGATTAATCTTTTGATGAAGAAGGGGGTGTGGATGTCCTTTCCCTCAGGCCCTGTCTAAGTACTCACACCAAACCAAGAAACCGCCATTCTTACAGAGAGTTAGAATACAAATATACACTACGGTGATTTCTTTTAAATGCTTTGGGGAAAACCAAACTGGATCCTGAGAAACACAACTTGTCAAGACTATTACAACCCAAAGTCATGGTTTAAGGGAAATAAATATCTGCCATAAAGAATACTAGTGCAACTTGTGAGAGAGGAGTAAGCAACGTCAGGCAAAGGGGAAGAGAAATGTTCACCCTTCTGTGTTGGGCTAGATAGAAAAGATCAGCAATATCAGAGCTAAATGAAAACTGTGAGACAGAATTTACAGCTTCATAAATAATTCTACCTTTCTGCCTCTCAGTGAACAGCAGCCGCCTTCAGAATATTTGAAGCACAGACCTCTTTAAAGAGCAGCCGAGCCCTCCCATGAGCCAAAACTGTAAATCTCAATACAGTGTGTCAGAAAGCAAAGAAGATCCAGGGCTTGGGGAAAGGCTTGTCTCAATTACAGTTTTGACTAAAGGCATTTCTTCTGTAGCAGACAGCAGCAATGCTAGGCTAGGGAGATAGCTCACTGGGTAAAGCCCTTGCCATACAAACATGAGAGCTTGAATGAGAATTCCCCAAAACCGACAGAAAACTGGAGTACATAAACTTAGTAGTAATCTATAGACCCAGCAATTCTCCAGGAAGCTGGGAAGTGGAGACAAGAGAGTCCCAGGAAGCTTGCAGCCAGCTGACCTGGTGTTATACAACAATATAAATGAGCAGGAGACTCTGTCTCAAGAAAGTGGAGATTAAGTACCAGTTCCTCAGGTTATCTTCTGATGTCCCCATGCACGCCATGCCTCAGGTGTATCAACATTGCATGCGTGATCCACATAAGACAAAGATTTAAAAAAGTAATTTAAGCCACAACAACAAAGTGAACAAAGCCAAGCTGCGATAATTTGGGCATCGAAAGATAATGACTGTTGGTTGCTTGACAGTGCACCTCAGAGACACTGGTGCAAGGAAGTTATAAATTGTGAGTCTATTGGTTGAACTTGAGCTCCCTCAAAATGTAACACATGACCCACAGCGTCAATGGGAATATACTGTAAAGAGAAGCTAACTGGAGCAGGGCAGAAGCAGAGATTAATTTCCAAATCAGCATGTTAACAAAGGACATGGTTTTTGTCTCATGATTCCTGTGGGATTGTGTGATAGCAGCAGTTATAGAAAGTCATGCATGAGACTGAATGATGAGGCTATGGATATCAGCAAGAAGACTCCAGCAGGACAGTAGCTTTTCCTATTCACCAGGACACAGTTGAGAAACCTTAGAATCACAGACCTGACATCCATCACAATACAGTTGGCATGGTAATCTCACCATAAAATCAAGGTAATAATGTCACTTCAAAATGTTACTGAAAATACCAAATGAAATTATTTTTGCGGGGTTTGCCCCAGAGGTTGTAGCTGATGATGTCATCAACAGGTAGTTCTCATTCCTGTCCCCTGGTCTGGCTCTCTGTGGACTCGCTGTAAATTCCTGTCTCCTAATGAACTGCCAGAACTTCACACAGCTGCCAACTAGCATCAGACTCACTGATTTATGTAGAGAAAGAAAAGAATCACTGCTGCTTAAATGACACACACAAGTAACCTTCAGCACACTAAACTAAAACAATAGATACAAATGGAACCAGAAAGGGGTGGTTTCTGGGCCTGGGGAAACGGCTGGATCTGATGAGGCAACTGCTGTTGAATGGCTGAATTTCTATGCTGATTTCCTAGGAGATGGGAAGGAAACCTTGGTCATCACGCTTCAGAGCTGAGCAAGGGCACGTTAATAAGCACTTTCTGAAGGTGGTGGTTACAAATACCGTTTGGGTAGCCTCCTATTATCTGGTGTGTATGACTGTCATTTGTGTCCAGGTAACCAGTGTTTAAACTAGAACATCAGACTTGTGTTTGAACACTTGTCTAGCAAGGATAAAGGTTCCAGACTCAGCACCACAAACAAAACGAAGCAAAACTGCGGTGCTCTGCCGAGTTCTGAACCTACTCACCCAGTGGCTTTCAAACACTAGTGTATACTTAGAGAGCTCCCTAAAACCCACTCAACTGACCCATGCCCACACCTCTGGCCTCTGATTCAATCTAAGGATTTACGTCCCCACTATGCTGCCCAATTTCCACCACTTCTACTGTCAAAGGAAAGGACTTTCAGAAGCAGTGTGTCAAGTAAAAGCACCCAAGATTTATTTCTGTTTCTTCCCAACGAGAATCCAGGCCTGGAGGTGAAGCACAGTGTTTAGCATGAAATATTCCCTTGCCGACAACAATTTACTCCTGTGAATGACTGGAAAATCCAACACTGACCTTGTCAATCTGACGTGCGCAGTCACCTCGAGCACCCAGGCGGATTAGGGTCAGGGCAGTGAAGATGCTCAGCGAGGAGAAGAATACATTTCCATCTCCTTGATTGCTATCCATCTCTCTGAATAAATCGAAACCAAATTCTGCATTTGCTGCAGCAAGGGAGGCCATTGTGAAACCAAGTGTTGCCTGGAGGTCAATGGAGAATTAAATTATCTCAGAGAAAATTTGTTTATATATATGTTTATTATGAATTATGAATTCAAAGTTTCATTTTTTTCGCCCTTGTGCGTGATCATCAAATTACTTGGGGACAGAAAGAGATGATTCATTTTGTCCTGCTTTCTTGGTTCTAATACTCTAAAGCTTGCTTGGCAGCAATACAGAATACATTCATTTTTTTCTCACCCTAGCACATCAAGAAAACCAAGCTCTCCTATTCCCATTGTGAGCATAACCATAATTTTCCTTGACTGAGTACTCTACCTCAATGGTCCTTATAGACCTGTTTTCAAGATGCACATTCATGCACTTACTAGTTCTCATATTGCCTCAGAGTTCTAAGAGGAGAAAGATCAAACATGTAACTGGCTGCAAGGAATACTCCATCATCGCACAGCATGTTCAACAAAGCCTTGGTTTCCTAAACCAACCTTACTTTTATCACATAATTCTCTCACGCCGTCTCCTTTATCGGCTCTCTATATATTCATAGAGTCATTGTTCCATCATGTTTTCTTTTGGACCACCTTAATTTTAAACACAGTTCATCTTTGCCTTTTGAAAGACCACTGTCCAATTTTTAAATATAAAATGTAGTTCTTATCTCATTGTTCATGAGATACAGAGCAATGATGCCACCCTGGAATTCCCCAGAGACCAACTCAGTGTTTCTTTGAAGACTTTCTCTACAGCTTAGTAATTCCAATATTACAGGGGACCTTATTCAGACTAAATGAATTTGAATGGATGCTCCAAACTACTCTTATTGAGTACTATTTCATCTGGTACCCAGGCAGCTATTCAGAAGGCCCAGCACTGTGCCAACCCTACTGCTAACAGTTACATGCATTGGAGCAAGTTTTCTACTCTTCTAAACTCACTTTTAGATTATTTCATGAGCTGGTCTTGTATTGGAACTGAAGCAGTGACGTGCAACAGAAAAGCATGCATGCTTCTACCTGTCACTCTATAAAAGGGAAAAAAATTTATAGCACTCATCAGGGGGGAGAAGCAGAAGTCTGGTGATAAAGACCATCTCCAGGAAGAAGATACAAGTAGCACAAAGGAGTATGCTAAAATTGTCGTTTTTACAAGCTAACATCCCCAGAACATAGAACAAGAAAATTAATCACGCTGCAGTGGCTCAGGCCTTTAATCCTAGGCCTCTAGAAGTAAAGAAAGGCAGATCTCTATGAATTCAAAGGCTGCCTGCTCTATACAGTGAACTCCCGAAAGCCGTGGCTACACAGTGAGTCCCTGTCAAAAGAAACAGACAAACTAACAAACAAAACAGAAACACACACGCACACACACACACACACACACACACACACACACACACCAAACTATAGTTTAAGGACAGAGAGGGAGAATGTAATTTAGGGCTGAGAGTGTAGCTCAGTGGTCTAGAATACAAAAGGCTCTTGGTTCTCTAACAATATCAAAATCAAAACCGATAGAAACTACCCAGAAAATTACTAAATTTACTTCGTATTTTATCCAACTAACACAGAACAAAGAGCACCTGTGACTGTCATTGCCACTACAAATAAAAGATTCCAGCAAAAGCTTAAAAAGAAAAATACAAATCAGGGCTCTGAATGGATTTAGTAGTGACAGACAACCATTGCTTACTGAGTGACACTGAAAGTATCTATGGTCCCCAAATTTTCTAGGGACTCAATTGTATTTTGGTCTTGGAAAATAGTATTACAACTATAGCTTGAAAAATTATGAACCAAATGAATAAAAACATGAAGCATAAAAATGAAACACACACTGGTATTTTTCACTAAACTTGGAAGCATAAAAATGTCATCACTTCCATAAGGAGACTGTGTGCAGAAACTCTCTCTTCAGAAGAGTCTGTGTTGGTGTCAGGGTCTGTCTTGGCGGCAGAGATTCAGTGAAAATGAAAGGAATGACTCTTAGAAACCAGTATGACATCAAAAGCATAAAATATCACGGGGAAATTGTGTCCATTTGTCTGTTTTAACACACTGACACGGAACGGGCTAGTACCATTAAACTGAAACTAAAAGGATTTTTAGGCCCAGAGAGGTTATCCAGTAAAATTACATTGAAAGTTATGTTTCTTTATAAATTCTATCTTAATTATTTACATATTCAGGTTAAAAAGAACAGTTTCTGACTTTTCAACATTATTCTTCTCTACATTCCAAACAATAAAAGCTTTTATTTTCTAAACTTTTAGTCACATGGTAACATTTCACAAAATTGTCCTTATATCCAAAAGAAAAGAAAACTAACACAAGAATTTTCTCATTGAAAAAAATTAGGGTAATTAATTTCATCAGATAAGATAGATTCCATGGCGTGAAAATCATGCTGATAAAAAGTTATTATGGAAAAAAATGAGCCAAGACATTCCTAGACAATAATAAATCCTGAAGCCCTAACTTTTAACATGACGCATAGCACTAAATGCATTCAATCACTCTTATACAAACAGGCTCATACATGCTGAAGATAAATTCAAAAATTCTACTTTGCATAACTGATTTTATTAACTTTCTCTATGTAAAGTACACTATATGTTCATGGGAAAGTATGATGTCCTCCTCATTATAGGTGAATACCACATTCTATTGGCAGACAACTCTACTTAAGATTGACTCGATGACTTTAGGCCCCAAAGTTCCAAATGCTGAGAGATGAGTGAAAATTAGCACCAAAAAGAGTTTACCTTTCTCCTATAATAACTTTGTAGCAACTTAACATAAATATTTGAAAGTCCAACAAAAGTATATGTTTAAAAAAACACTAATGAGTAGCAAATATTTGGGACTTAGTTACATAACTAAGGCAGGTGTAAGGAAAATCATTTAGGCTCAAGCTACAGAAGGTGGCCCTACAATATCTCCCAAAACACTGTTGTTGAGATAGTATAATGAAAAAAGTATAATTCTTTTCAATCATAAAAGAATTTAGATAGAAAGAGGAACTTTTCATCTAACCCTCAAATACAACATTCTTATGTTTTTTGCATAGAAATGCCAGCTTAATATAAAATTATAAAATCATGAAAAGTAGTTCACAATCTTAAAGTTAATACAAAATAGAAACGTCTTACGAAATATCTTAGATACCAAATTTCAGACAAAAAAATCTCAGCTACCTAAAAACTAGCTACTTGGTTACCTGTGGAGTATGGAATATTTCAACACTAACAAAGTTTTCCTTCTGTCTTCTGGTTTCAATATATTTGATTAAAAACAAAAAGCCAAAACGACAAAAATACAGAAGTTACCAAAGCTTTGTTTAAAAATTCTAAATAAACTAGCACACAAATGGTTTTAAAATGAAACATAAGCAAATCTAGATATAAAACAACTTCAATAAAACATGTAATTTGATTCTATACTTGTATCTGACTGATAAAATACATGGCTTAACTTCGTGGTAAAAGCATAAGTGATCTTAGAGTAATTTTCATTATGTAAAAAATTAATTGTACTTATTATTTAATTATTGAAGGGAGTCTTTTATAACTATTGAAATTAAACTGTTTATTAAAACAGAAAAATTATTAAACAAATTTAATTTTATTTCTTATCAGTGTTCTAAATACTATATTATGACATAGTTGATGCTCTCTAGAAGTATTCTCAAATCTTTCCATTTATTTAAAAAAGCTTAAGCTTTGATAAATTTCTAAACTTATGACTGTCTCCCATTATGATTGGTCCTATTTAGTAAATTCCAGCATATAGTGATGTAAATGGGAACACTGGAAATACAAAATCTAGATTTGTATGTAATTCTCAATTCACCTATTCAAAGACTGAACATAAAATTTTGATTGATAGCTGATGTTACACTGTGGCAAACACCATTCTCCATGATGTTAGTCAAAGTCAATTGGGAGAAGCCACAGAGAACTGAAAAACATCTTGAAACCTTGATGCATTTAATGTCTCACATATAGAGAAGTAACCAAGATATCCCTCCCCCTTCTCTCTCCTTTTACACTGTGGACATTGGGAGCATTTACCTTACTGTCTTCATAGAGGAAGTTGCAGAAGGTTGGGTGAGTCTGGAAGAGTTGCATTACTCTGAAATATAAAGCCTACGACTGAGACACTCCCTTTTTCCTATTGTGATGACCACAATGGTTTAAAAATAATTCCACTGAAGTGAAATTGTGCTCAAGTCTTTTATAAAGCAAAGTTAAGAATATTTATAATTAACTATAACTTCAATTCAAAATTGTCAGAATAGATATTTTCTCATGAAATTGAATGTATTTTTCAGTCATATAACATATATATGCATAGCATTTTTCAGTCACTATGTATGGCATTTTCCATATTAAATTCAGTGGCTGATCTGTGATATTCTACCTTCTCTAGCCCTCTCCCCTTCTGATTTTAGCAAAAAGCAAGAAATGCAGTCTAGTGTCTTCCCAATGACTCATTTTCAAGAGAGTTGGGAACTAGGGAATACTGTATTGAGGAAGACAGTGAGCTGACTCTTTCTGGAGAAGCATGCTTATATTTTAGTTAGTGATTCTGAGTAGATCTCATGTATTATTCCTGCACGTCCAGCACTGCCTTCATTTTAATTGTATGGCTTAATGCTAATATTGAATAATCTTGATCTTTCAAGAGTTTCTAAAGCTAATGTCCTCTCAGATCAGGACAATGAACATATGTTGAGAGACAGCTATCTGCATAAGAAGAGAAACTAACCAGTGAGAGAAAATAGAGATCAAACACAGAAAAAGATAATGTGGTCACCACTACTATCATAAAAGAAAGACTATGCTGTGAAACATATATCATTAGACAACATCAGGGCATCTTCGGATGCATTTTACTTACTTGTGATAAACACTAAATGCAAATAAAATGCATGACACATCCAGAGGGGAGAGGTGAGATTTTAGGGAGTGCTGTGAAGAGCAGAAGACTTGAAACATATACCATGCTTTCATGTGAAGAGGT